TATTTTTAGATCTCAGGAATACGTGGTGCGGGAGCTCAGCTAAAGCCCAATCAAACCACCAAACACAGTGATGTGCTTCTCTTTGAACAAATACGTCTCAGAACTCCCTATTTCCCTGAATCAAGTGGATTAGCTTCACTTTTTAAAGTCCTACCCCATGTGGTGTGGCAGTTGGCTGCAAAGCGGAAAGCCACGTGCTCCCACCTCAAAGATGGTCATCACCTCTCTAAAGAAGAGCCCTAACTCTCGCGGCCCTGATTGAGGGCAGGCAGATATTCCTTAGCAGCAGTCATAACTATATTCTTTTCATTTCCATTCACCATCTTTAAAATTAATTCCACAATAAAGTCGAACAATTCCCAGAAGGGGTGAAATGGGTTCTCTAAGCAGATGAGAATGGAGTTTTCTGCTGATTTCTGTACGTACTAGGGTAACTTGTGCTAAGAAACCAATGAACACAAAAACAGGATAACAAAGCCATCCATTAAAATCTGGAGACACTGAAGAACTACCTTACATGTCCCATCGCTGTAAGACCTATTTAACTGTCTCAAAGCACTAGTGTTAAAAACAATTGACCCAGTATTACAGATGTCTTTTTACTTAGTCACTTCTAAAGGACACCTTGTCTGGTGGTGTGCATCTCAGCACCTCCACCCCCAGCTCCTATGCAAATGCAACATCATATTATAGTATGTTTTACTTACTCTAATGGGGAAAAGCTAAGTCATACAAGACAGAGTGGGAAAAGGGTATCAATATTCTTAAGCCACAGGGCATTTCCAGAGGTACAGATCCATAAAAAACTAGATATGTAGATATACACTCTCTTTCAAACATTTTCTAGCCACAATGGAAAATAAAACTTTTGGTTTTATCTCTTCATTTTTAAAAATTTAAATTCTTAAAATGCTAAAGTGTCTTGAACTGTTTATATGTAGTCTATGAACAGGAAGAATGTTTATGAATTTGAAATATACTCATCCTTATCTCTTATTATTTAAGTGGTTTCTTAATTTTCATTAAAAACTACACAAAATCAAATTAGAATTTCATATTTTCTAAGTAAGAAAATCATTTTAATTTTAAAAATAAACACAGAGCACTAGTAATAGAAATTTAGTGTTTAAGAAGACTTAAAGAAAAGCCACTTTGGGAAAACAATTCATTTTGAATGTAAATAATGCATTTATCTCATTACTATGCACATTAATGATAACTTCACTAGGGGGCTAATACTGGTGAATATATCTGTTCACATCCTGCAAGGATGTTGCAGAAGTCTTCTTATATATCCTTTTTACCTCTCTCAATTTCCCTTTTTGTTGCTGTTTTGGATTTTTCTGTATGACTGTTTTTATGTTATATCCTTTATAATTCTCTTATTGAGTGACTTTTCATTGTTAATTTTCTGGTATAAAGTAGGACATGAAAAATAAGTTGGTTATATCTTTATATTTACTTTTACGGGTGTCATTTTATTGTCCTATTTCTAAGTATTTCATGAAAAGATTCTAGATGTCAAAACCTGCAGTTAACGTTCCTGTTTAGAAATACACAAAATAATACCTTTGACGTTGGCAACTCAGATGTATTATTCAGCAAAACAGCAATTACTCATTGTTTTGCACTTACATGTTAAGAACTATGCGACACTTGGTGACACAATAACAAAATTGCAAAGTCAATTACATTTAAAATAGACGTCCTAATAAAACATACACAACCAACTCCTTTTACTCTTTTTGAACTGTTTTGTTTCCTTTTTCTGACTGTTTACAGTCAGATTATGTGAACGTTAAACCTAAGTATAATAACTGATGCACACACATCATGAGAAAAGTTAGAAGATGGGGAGGGGGTGTAATATACAGGGAGGTGTATTCCTGAGGGCACCAGAATCCACCTAGGGCAGTGCCTTGTATATTTTCGGACGTGTAAAACTAGGATGTTCTTTTGCAATGCCAATCATAGTGGCAAACTTTGAAAGAGCAGTGTCTGCCAAAATTTAAAGCAAAATTTAAGCTAGATTCACACTAACAATTCTAAGCAGAACTAAAGCAATAAAACTCAACTAGAGTCTCTATATTTAAGAAGAGAGAATTTCAGGTGGGACTAGGGTGTTTGTTTTATTCTATTTTAATTGCATGAGAAGCATTTTTGTAACTTGAACTTCCCAGTAATGAATTCCACGTCTCAACCCAGCCTGCAGCCTGAATTGAAGTTCCCATCAGAAAATTAAAATGTTTGTCTGGATAAAATAACTTCTAAATGAACTCTCTATTTCTTTTCCTTTCTTTTTGTATTTTCTGCAATGTAGCCCCTCGCAATGATATTAGTTCTAGTGTGGGAAAATATTATAATTGAGATCTGGTAAGTTATTTGCAGACTTCAAGTTTTTCTTTACACTGTGCTGACATTTAGTACAGCCCTGGTGAGGAAAACAATACTACCATTCATAGCTCTAGACGTAGATTTCAATCGACTTAAGCGGGCACAATGAAACTTGGTCATTCACTGGTTACCCATATTGTGTTCTCAAATTTTCTCTCAGCAAAAGTATAATGACTCAGTATTGTATGGTTGCATAGACAAGAGCTCGGAACAAGAGACACTAGTTTTGTCTGACGGTGTGAGAAAGTCGTGAAGGGATCTTTTCTTCCAGATGGTGTTAAATTCAGCTGCCTTTTTAACATTGGCCTTGCACAGCAATCTGCTGCTCCCCTTTCACAAAGACTGCGCTTGGTTCCCACTAGTTAACATGCATACTCACGCACCCTGCAACTTCACTCCAACTGTTTTACAATGCAGTGGTATGCTAAATAAACTTGATCCAGTTTCTGCCAATGTTAAAACTAGCTTTCAAAGAACTACTTAACTGATATTTACACTTCTTTTGACTTAAATGTACATGCCTTTGGAATATTTCAGATTTCAAAGAAATATCACCTTATTATAAGGTCATTGTGGAGATTTCCTCGGACACCCTTCAGACCCACGCTCAGATACAGTACCTCTCTTCAACACACACAAATAAAACAAAATGTCAGAAGTTTGATGTGTAATAGAAAAAAGAAAAATTGGAACATGTTGCAGCAAGAGCAGTGGAACAGCAAAAAATAAAATGAAAATAATAACATTGAAATGTATTTTTATTGATCGATAAGTCATGTAACATTAGTATGATACAAAGCAAGTTTGATATGACAATGGCAAACACGTAATTATAATATTGTTTATTTTCCTTAGATGTTATATTTAACACATTTACATAAAAGACCAAGATGTAGGCAAAAGCTTCAGTAATTTGACTCCATTGAGTGCTTTCAGTAAACAATAGGTTTCCCCAGCAAACATCTTATTGCCTTAATTGAACCTCCTTGAGAAAGAAAACCACACACTTTGTAATGTAAATGTTAATTGTAGTAGACAATGGTTCTAGGTAAATAGCACCCCTGGACATGAAGTAAATGAAAGGAATACAAGCACTTAACAATGAAAGGTTGTTTGCACAAACAGTGCTTCAAATGTAAATAAACAAGGGTCTTCTCAACGGTCACTACAGTAGTAAAACTTTGGCACGTGTTCAGTGGCCAAATTGAGAATTCATGTTCATAAAGTCTTTCAGAGTTTCTAACTGAAACTAACAGTGGGTTTTCAGGCTTCTCCAGTCTGAAGTCTTATAAGGAGTTGAAGCTACAAAGGAAAATGTAATGCTTTTGAAGAAAAGTTGTATATTTGAGATTTGGGATTGTCAGTAATCTAGGTCACGTGGAAGATAACAGGCCATTTTGGGCATTTTCTTATTGCAATGTTTGTGTTTATGTTTAAAGGCCTATACAAATATTTGCTTGGTGACGTGGAAAAATGGAAGGACTTTTACAAAAAGATTACCATGGGGACTTCCAAAGCACCAAAATTTCTGCTAAGCATAGTCATTTTTAGATTAAATAAAAATGGCTATTTAGAACACATCTAGCTGGGACTATACGAAAACAATCTTTCATCATACTGTTATTGTAATCAACTTTCTATAGATGGATGATTTTACAGTTTTACTTCCAGTGTATGTCTACTAGCATAATTAGGCCAAGTTCCTAGATATATCACATTAAGAGGTAAAGAGCCTGATGAAGTGATAATAATGTCTGTTATAGAAGAGATAAGTATTTTAAATATAACCCTCCCCAAAACAAAAGCCAAAAGGTGGCCACAAGGCCACAAGTATGGACTGAGAATTTGACATGAGAGGCAGGTAGTCATGGGACTTTCTTGGAACTGCTTTCTACTAGCTTTCCTTAAATATTGAAAATCTCAAGCAAAGAAGAAAGCCAAACTTCATTATGGCCAGATTAAACAGCGGTTATAAAATCAACAGAAACAGACAGTATGCAGCAGCTACAGACCAGTTGGTGCTGCCATTTGGGAGGCTGCAGATGGCTGTGGGTGGGAAATGCCTCTACTTTCTTAAGCGATGGAGATGAGTATGGTGTGTGCACTTGATGTTTTTTTCATACCCCCACCTCCCAACAGGGCTGTCTGTCATAGGCTGCCGGGCCCGCTTTACCACTTGCCCCCGAGCGTGGGAATCGGAGCGTCCTGCCGTTCACATCTCCTGCATTCCGTTTAGCGGAATCAATTAGGCAAGACAGACCCTCAGATTCCCCACCCCCTTTCCATTTTTGTCAGGTCTATATACGTCCTAATTATTTCAGTTTGGGATGCCAGAGCTGTTTCCTGGATAGACCTGATCATCCTTAAACAAAAAGAGAGGAGGCGCACACGTGGGTTGTGGCGTAAATGTCACTTTCATTTCCAATGCTAGGCGCAGAGTAAGACAGAACATTTTTTTAACACTTTGACAAGAGGGGAGGCGATCTCGTCTCCATCATGTCTTTCTGCTTCAGTAGCTTCCTCAAGGAAACCCTCTTGGAACAGAGAAGCATCTGTCCTTGTATTTTGAATAGAAGAATAAAAATCAGCCTTTGCTTTTTTTTTTTTTTTTTTGCATTTTCCCTTCTAGCTCTATGTCCTCAGTAGATACAACTGATTAACCTCCCAGTATAAATTTTCTGAAAGTCTAATTTCATATAATTTGACAGACAACCCCAATACATGTAGTTTTCAAGCATAATCTTTCAAATTTTTCAGGGGAGGGGCCTCAGAAGGGAACAGCCTAAGTCTACATATGATGGAATCATTTTTAAACTAGGTCCCAGACATCTCTACAACAGCTTTCTAAGAAAGAAAACCAACCTCATATATAAACTTTTGCCTGAAAGTAGGACAAACTACACGAGCCTCCTTCCTCACTAGCAGCATACAATTCTCCCTTGCGGCTCTAACAACCCCTGTCCAAGTACCTGGCACCTTTATATTTTGGCATATGTGTCACTTAACTTCCTCTAATCCCACCTTTAATCAAAAGGCAAAAAAAACAAAAACAAAACCAAAGTTAGATTCAATAAGTATTCCTGACCTTTCTGGTTTTTACTGTCTCTCGGTTGTAGGCTCTCATTCTCACACGCTCCCCGGCGATCTTGAAGGAGTTTTTACTTTCGGTTATCTAGCTTTATGAAGACCAATACACTCATACAGCTAGATAACCAAAGATAACAACTCGCTTCCCTCACGCGCCTCTGTCTTCCTCTGACCGGACTCCAGACGCCGAGGTCTCCGGCAGTGCGGAAGGGTAGTCCTCTAGGATACTTGCCGCGCATAAGATTCCTCCTGGTATGTAAATATGACCTGGTTTCTGTCTGTGTGTGCAGCTAAAACATCCAAACGAGATCTGTTGCTTTCAAAGTTTATTCCGAACTTTTTTTTTCCTTTCAGCAAGTAATCTCCGGCAGCGTTAGCCAACAATTCATCTATTAATATCAGAAAATAAAACCAGCTATTAAGGTGCAGCAAGCGGTTACGAGTGAGCGGCAGCATCCGTCCCTTCACAGGCCTCTATTTGCATTGTAAATTGCTTCCTTCTCACGCAAGACTCTTTAGTCTCCCTCTATAGAGACGTATAAAGCCAAAGGCAATTTCCAGCGCAGGTTAAGGAGGAAGGAAAAAAACACATCCCATCCTACAGAAGAAGTGACAGCTGATTCAAGGATCTGCTCCTGATCCTTTTGGGTTAGGCACCATGAGCTTTTTACCAAGCGGTGGCAGCTTGATCGCACATATCTTGTGTGTGTGTGTTTTAGGGGGAAGATCCTCGATTTCACAGGGCTTCTAGGCTGGGGAGGAGAAGATGCCGTCTTGCTGGCGTGCTGCTGCCCCCGGTCTGAAAGAAGGAAAAAAGGGCCATCATTGGAGGGGCTTTCACTGCCAAAACGTGGACCAGCCCGGCAAGGTCAAAGGTTCGAGACCGCGGGAGACCAAGGTAATGATGATGTCATGAGAAATCTCAAGTACACGGTTATTGATATGCATCAGTGATCAGCCAACTGCCCCACGCCGGCTGCCCGAGCAGTGGCAGCGGCGGCAGCAGCGGCGGCAGCATCGCAAGAAGCCCTATTTTCTCAATCAGCATCTCTTCCGCTAGCACTCCCGACTGCTCCTGGAAAAGCAACCCGCGGCCTTTTACCTCCTCGGTGCTAGTGTAGATCGCTCTAATATCCAAAGACTGGAAGAAATCTCTCTCTAAGGACAGATAAAAGCATTTCAGATCTGGGGAACGTCTTTGCCTGCATTTCTCTTCTGGCAGATTGCATGGGCAGGCAGATGGAAGGCACTTTGCTATTGCTTAAAGCAGGGCCTTGCTTTCTGGGGCCGAGAATCACATCTGTATTACGCAGTGAGTCGATGTGTGATTACATTGACAATTTGCTCTGAGGGTGTGTTTTTAACGGCTTCACAGCTCAGGCATGTTTTGTGTCTATGTACTATGGCGATGGGGCCCCATATTTGTTCTTAAGTGAAGGCTCTAAGCAAGCCGACTTCATCCTGGCTTTTAAAAAATGACTCTCTATGTAGGGTGTGTGCCTTAGAATGTAGCACAGGTAAACACTGCAGCAATAGTTTCTAATGTGGACCACAAGACTGCTGTAATAAAAATGCGGAGCCTTTGTCTATAGTTTCAAACATCAATTTTCATACAGAAGGGCAAAATGCACTAGTCTTCCTTATGAAATTATGAAAAAAGTATTGTTACCTCATGAAAAAGACAGATAAAACTCCTGGATGTTAAGAGTGTAACTCTACGCCCAACCTCCCCTCCCCCAACCCCACCTGTTTTCTTTCTAGAGGGGAATATTGTTTTATTAATTAGCCTCATTCCTTTTCTTAGGACTTTTCAAAGTGTGAATATGATCACTTAAAAGAGCATTTTTCTTCTTCCCTCACCTTCATAATGGGCAATCTATGTCTAATGCATCTATAATATGTGCAGTTCTAATAGTCAAATGCTCCTCAACAGAACATCTAAGGTGCAGTCCACATAAGATGCATATTCACCATGAGTGAACTTGATGGACTGTTTTCCAAAATTATGAGTTATGTTTAGTGGTGTTACCATTCTTTAAAATACACACTACAAGCGAATGTCATAAATCTTCATAATCATTTCACACATCACTAGTTTACCACGATACTCTCATTTCTATAGGTTGACTATTTTCCCCAATGATTAAAACATTTTCAGAATTAATACACACTTTCATTAATTCAGTAATTTATTCATTTAAGACATGAGTGTGAATATGCTGACCAAATTACATACAGAGCACACATATGTAAATCCTATAAAAAAGACTGATAAGTAAAGAAAATCAGAATTGCTAAGAAAAGCCCCCAATCAAGAGTTCAAACAACAATATTACACCAATTAAAGATATGATTTAGTGACACGGATGCCAACATTTCCCTAGATTTTTTATTAATTTACTTTTTTAGTGAGCACTCTTGTCTTGATTATTTAGAAAAGACTAAGCTATGGAAATCGCTCATCTATTTTTCTTATCAAATCTTGGTACAAGAAGTACGATTAGAAATGGCTGCACTGGGTTATATGTAAAACGTACATGCAAACTACAAACTAATTCAGAGAAACACACTCCCATAGAGTTACTGTTCCTTCTTGAACTATGAGGTCACAACATAAACTACTGGATAAGAATTGAACACATCGCTGAGGCACATACCACTTTTGACATTATGTAAAACCCTAATGAGCTTTGCTGCTGTGGAAGACAGAGTATTTTGGCCTTGCTTTCCAAAACCTAGAAGCAGAATCATTAGTGATTTGTCATGTACTACCTAAAGCAAGCATATGATCAGATGAATTCAATTCCTTAAGTTAAAACCCCGAGAAATGCCAGATACTTTTTAGAATTTTAGAATTTTGCTTTAAATATGTCTGGGTGTGGGCTGGTGAAAGTAGAGAGATGTAATACATGTATGTCTATGTGTGTGTATCACCTCCACACTTGTGTGAATTTGCAAATTAATGGGGCCATATTTCCACATTTAACAATTAAATGCACTTTTAGAATCCAAGTAACTATTATGAAAGCCAAGACAGTGAACATATGAGATGCTTCTACAATTAGAAGCTACAGAAGATACTGTCTTAAAATAGCATCTTCTGCGGCAATGCCCCATAGTCATATCAACTGACTCCAGGATTGGCCCCCATTCCTGTCACATATACCCTCATTCATAAAGAGAGGCCCAAAAAGTGAAACTAGCCAACACAATGATTATGGGCAGTCTGTTCATTAGCCATAGCGGCAATTAAATATTTTCTCTCTCCACCATCTTTCAAGGTATGGAGAAATAAAAGAAACAGAGCAAGGCTTAACACCGAGCACCTGATTATTTTGACTATTGCCAAGGTTCATGTGGTGGTTTATCATATACATTTCAAGGACTATATTATTATCTAGGATGTTAGACAAGTTGAAACAATGTGGTGCTCTAAAGATTCCTTGTAATGTCTGCCATACATTGTTATGAGCAACTATTAACATCTACCTGTTTTTAGTGCAGATATCTTTGCTTTTCAAAAAGCTATTTAGCTGAGCTACAGAATACCCCTTCTGAAATCTGCATATTGAAGGATATACTGAATTCAAATGGCTTGCCTGCTCATTCTCTAATAAATGCTCATTAATGGCCAGCAGATTAGGACGTGATTGTCATGCTTGTTTTCTAATCTTTTTATAGGTCTCCAGATGGCTGACACATGCATTGAAACATCCTGGTTTTGTTGGGAATAAACAATCTCTGCTTAAGTTAAAAGTGAAAAGTTATGATTTTCCACATATTTGGATTAGAATTACGCTATTCCATAAATGCAAATACATCAGGTTTGCCACTAATATTTAGAACACCTCTCTGAATCCTATTCAGACTACTGCAGCGTATATAAAGAACTGGCCTATCACCAAAATCCCTTTTTAATATGGAATTTGTATGACTCTCATGCATGTAAACCACAGTGCACTAATACAGCCAAGGCTATCATTTTCTACATAAAAGCCATTTAATTTAGTGATTTGTATAGTTCAGGCAAGGTACTTGACTGGCTTACTTTCTAATAAAAGTATCCTATTATTTCTTCTGTATCCTGAATTTCATTTTTTACAGGCAGTTGCAGGTCATGTTTGCATTATTCTTGATATATAATATACAAAGGCTACCTACGGGAAAAAAACCTACACATATGGAAACTTAGATTTTTCTGGAATTGTATCTATTGCATGAACTGGGAGATATGCATTACACTGCAGGCCTGCCACCCAGTAAATAATATTCTATTTTGATTTTGTACATCACTTTGATTTTATCAAATGTAAATTTTAAAATTACCTTTGGTTGGGTTGTCTATTCATTTTACGCTTCTTTGTAGTCTCATCTGAAAAACAGTCAAGGAAACAAATGATCACAGTTTAAATATATATATATATAGAAAATCATGTCTAGATTTGGCTTCATTTAAAGTATTGCAATTAAAATGCCAAAAGATTCCAGAAAACCCCAGTGCAATGTATCCTGGGCTTCAGCACCCACAGGGTTAAATATGCTAATTTGCATTTAAATGGCTACATGCATGATAATAGGAATGCAAAATATGCAGAATCTGGAGGGGTTTGGGAAATTAATATTTTTCTTTCTTCTTTTCTTTTATTTTTAGCTTGGAAGGCACAGGGACTCTTAAGAAACATTAGGGATTTGAACATTGTAACCTGTCATACAAAAGAGGAGGAAGAGTACTTCCATGTAAGAATTTTAAGACAAGAACAAAGTCGTATTTTCTAAATGTTTAAGAGACTGAATTTCCAGGCCTTTCAAACAATGGGAATCCCTGGATAAATATCTAATCCATTAGAAAGATGCAAATAGTTTACTGTAAGGCGACAGCACGGTGAGATGTGCATTCATATCTATGGCTCCTGATTGGCTATTTCCTCTAGTAAATCAATGAATAATGTAAAACCTGATTGCTGTAAAGTGGTGGATTTTTTTATTCCCTTTCCCCCATCCCCCCACAACTCAATATTCAAGAAGTCTTACACTCCCGAAAATAGGTTGCTTTTCTTTTATGATTTTGTTAATGCTTATTGTTATTTTGGAGTGGCAGGGTGGGGCTATTGGTTTTGCAAAATGAAAGTACTGCACTGGTTCGATTATGCTGACTATGGGAGCACGTTTCCCGGAACAGTGCCCTAATTACTGGTGTCAAGGTGGGGAAAGTGGGTGGTGGGCAAAGGTGGGCACCAGGAGAGGGAGGAAAATGGATCCGACCCCGATGTTCTGGGCCCAAGGTAGCTACAGCTCCAAAAGAGTCCCCGGCCGTGACCGTGACTTGACAGGGCCTCCGGTCTAACTTCTCATCAATTCCACTGCTGCCCTGACCCCTCAAGACAGTCTCCCATTCAAGCATCGCCGGTACATTTGCAAGAGAAAACGCCGCAGACACTAATGCAAATACATTGCGTAGGTTCCCACCGCCCCGGGTTCCCTCAGACAATTCTAGGCCACGGAAGGAAGGTCTTGCCTCCCTCAGCCGGGTCTGGGCTCCAAGCAAACCGCAGAGACAGGGCTCCGCTCGGATACCAGAAGCGTCTGAAACGGAAACCCGCCAAGTCCCAATAACTAACCGCAATGGTTGCATCTCGATCGTAGTTTGAACTTGGCATAACCCTGTAAAGCGGCCTCTTGCCTCCCAGAATCCAAAAGGCACAGAGAGAAAGGAAGTGGAAATCCACCAGGTTTAGTTAGCTACTGTACGTAAGTTTCTACTAGAATCCAATCAGACCCTCGCTTCACTGCCAGGTAGTTGCAACTTTGAGGTGGTTAAAAGAATTATTCAAAATGCGAATCCTGCATCCAGGAAGGCAAAATACAATTGTATTTGGCTCTAGGTTTAAGAGGGAAAGGTCCCACCACCAGCAGCACAGAATTACATACAAAATTCCCCTTTCCAACGCGAAATTTTCCTGGCATCTCTCTGCAATTGGGGGTCAGGCCGCTGGATAATTAACAGTCTTGGTTCAGACAACTCAGGAGATCAACAGGTTTAGCATCCGAGACTCACAATCAATTAGCTGAAGCAAAGCCCCGGACTGGCCCTCGGAGCGGCCCGCAGCCGGGCTCTGCGGGCACCAGCTGGCTGGCGAGGTGCGGAGCGCGAGCGCGGGCCGCGGCGGGCACTGCTGGCCCCGCGCCGCCGCCGAGGTGCCGCCTGCGGGCCGCCACGATACTCACTTGCTCTCCTCCCTGCGCCAGGCACTGTTGCCCCTGTAATCCAGCTGGGCAGGAATCGAAGCGCCGGCCAGAAGACAAGATCCAGAGTCACAGGGCGGCCGCAGTACACACACAGGCTCCTTTCGGCGTCTCAAAAAAAGAAAAAAAATTTTCAGATCATTCCTCTCCTTAGCACATTTAAAACTGCCGCTCAATTCCACACGGTGATTCTTGCTTGATTGCGTCTAAAATAGTTTCAACGGATCTTCCCTTCTGGGAAGGGAGAGAAGGGCGCAAAAGACGAAGGAGGAAAAAAAAGCCAACTTTTCCCCCCCACGCCAGGCACTTGCTCCCTGAGCCTCGGAGTGGAGAGTGAAGTGGTGTGTGCGAGGCTCGGCAAGTTTTTGGGGGGGCTGTCCAAGGTCTAGTCCAGCCCCCTCTGCCGAGGAGGACGTGCTCTGAAACTCAACCAATTTCCCCACTGCTTTTGTTACTGATGAACTGAAGCCCTATTGTTCATCCATTGCCACGGTCTTTTTCAGTCCCCACACTACGTTCTGCGTTGCCAGAGATAATGAATTTGCACCCAAACCTCTCATAGTCCCCTCCTGACAGACGGAACAAATTAGAAATGTCTCGTCTGAAGGAGGGCAATGGCTACATTTTCCTATTGTAGGATGCAAAGCACACATTTCTTTGGAAACTTCTTTTGCCTTTTCTACCTTTTATTTTCTTCTCCCTCTTTTTCTTTTTTCCTCCAGTTTTTTTCCTCTTGATTTCTTTGGACTCTTTTTTAAAGAATAGCCCTGTCTTGTTTTTCCAATGCACCATTTTATGTAACTTGTGGATCTTTATCTTCCTTCCTTCTGTCCTCTCCTCCTTTCTTTTTTAAGGACTCCCTTTGCAATTTTATTTACAAACTTGGAGAATGACCTTTTGACTTGCAGACTTCTTTTTTTTTTTTTTTAGAGAAAGGTCTTTTGGTTCAAGTCCCCCTTCCTCACTCCTCCCCCTCTTTTTATTGTGGTCGTTAAATATGTTTGGCTAAAGACAAGAAATACATTATAAGGATTTTTATTCTTTAAACTCCACAGCTATTCAAAAGGTACCAGGGTTGCGCCATGGGGGTTATCTATTTGAGGGGGAAGAAAAAGCGTGTGTGTGTGTGTGTGTGTGCGCGTGTGTGTGTGTTCCAGGGATAGAAGCAGAGAGATGTGGGAGGGTGTGGGTGGGAATGTGCAGGAGAGAAGGGTGGGGGCCTTGAGGGGAAGGTGGGCTTTCTGGAATACGAGCGAGGAGGCTGTCAGGAGTGTAGGCACAGGAGGGAGGGTGCAAGAATCCGTCACGCCGAGGGCGGCTTGCACCCCTGGGCCTGTTCGCGCGCCCAGGCCGGGCGAAGCCTGGGCGCGGGTGTCTGCGCGCGCGGGCGCTCGTTCCGAGCCTGCGCGCGTGCTGCCGCGGGCGGGGGGGGGGGTCGCCTGTAAAAATTCAGTCGAGTGGCCCGTATGTAAATGTGGTAGCGGGGGGAGCGCGGAGGCAGTAATGAGAGCCGTGGGCGCGCAGCCCCGCCAGCGGCCTCCGGCTTTCCCGCCAAGTGCAGCCGGAGGACAGACAGCCATGCGTGTCCTTGGCGGGAGGGTCCCGCCCGCCGCGCGCGCCCGCCCCCCGCGCACACGCACAAGCTCCCCTGGCGGGCGTGGGGCCCTGTGGCCACGAGCATGTCAGGAAAACAAAGCTAGGGCTGCGAGGTGGAACGAAGAAACTGCGGCCAAGGGCAGGACTGGGAAGCCGACACCGCGGCCTCCGGCTCTCCTTCCTCGCCAGCCCGCCGCTCTGCCCTCCGCCCCCGGCTCCGCATAGCCCCGGCCCACGGGAGGCCGAGGACCATTTCTTAGCTGCCTAGGCGAGGGTGGTGAGCAGAGGCGGGGGCGGATGTGCACAGGGAGGTGCCAGCACCCCCCCTGCCAGTGCGCGGGCACGCACACGCCGGCGCGCCGGGCCCGAGGGGCAGTCCGCAGGCCTCCTCGCCGCGGAGCCGAGAGCTGCCACCTCCGCGCCCAGACTGCGGATCTCCGCGCGAAACACACACCAGGCTGAATCCGGCGAGGCAGCGCCCCGGGCTGCGGCCGCGGAATGGCTCACACCTCAAGCCCTCCTCCCCAGACAATGTAATCGGAAGGACCTGGCTGTGCAGAGAACCTTCTCTGAACCCCTCCCCCCGTGCCCTCCCCTCCATTCAAATGGGTGAAATTCGAACTCCAGCCCAGGAGCTCTGGCCTAGATGGCCTCGCAGATAAGTCCCGGAGGTGGCCTTGGAGACACACTGATCTCTCTCTCATCTCGCTCACAGCGCCTGCCTCGGTGCTCACCAGCCCAAGCACCTCCCCAACACACACACACACACACACACACGACACTCCCATCACATTAAAACGCCCGCTAATGGAACGGCTGTTAATGAAGCCGACGCGCATGATGAGTGCACAGGTAAATAAATAGGTACCGAAACAAGAAGCCCCCACCAGTCGACTGGGCGATTTACCTCTCCCTACTGGAAACACGTGTAGCTTATCGTGTTTTAGGAGTGATTTGCTGTTGTCTGAGGTCTCCCCCTCCTCTTCTTGTGGAGAGAAGCCAAAAAAAAAATCATGTTCCATTGTCAGAGTCTTCTTTCTGATAAGCTACCCGAGCACTGATCTAAAACGTTTGGGGATTTGATTTGGTTTATCTGTTGTTTTTTGGTTTGTTGTTTGGGGGTGTGTTGTTTTTCGGAGGAAAGCAGGAGAACGTGTATTTGGTGGGGCTGGAGGCGCAGGACAAGAGCCTGCGTGCGCGGCCGGAAGGGTGGCGAGGCTGGAAGCCGGGCAGTGGAGAAAGAAGGCGGCGGCTCGTCCTCCCCCGGGGTCGGCACGGCCCCCCGCGGCCCCCTCGGGCCTGGCCTCGGCCACCGCGCTGCCGCCGCCACACTAGCGGGCTCCGCCGGCTGCCGCTCCGTGTTTTCCCCCATCCCGGCTTCACGTTCAAGGTTTAGCTGCGAGGTCACGTCCATTGACGTCAGCTCCCTGTCTCCCTCTACGTCCGGCTACATTTACATACATCAAGGAAATTAGGGCATTAAAAAAATATGCAAATCCTGCGCGAAGAGGAGCCGGTGCATTCCTGGCGCGATCGCCTTTTATTGAAGCTTTTAATTAAAGGGGCCAGTTGGCGAGCCCCTGAAACAACCGCCAAAACCCCCAAAAGAGAAAAATAAACGCTGTAGCCTACGGGAACGGTTGTTTCGGCTCCTGTTCTGTGGGCGGCTGAGGACCGCCGGCTGCCCGGCTCGGAGAAGAACAGGTTAGAGGAGGCAGCTCCAGCCCATGCATAATCAGGGCTCCGCGGCGCCTCCATTCTTTCCTCCTCCTCCTCCTCTCCTCCTCCTCCTCTTCTCCTCCTCCTCCACCTCTCCTCCTCCTCCTCCTCCTGATCCCGCTCCTGTTGGTTCCAGCGTGTGTTATTTTTAATACTGATGCATATGTAAAGATATATTTGCATTTTTTAATTCGCGAAAAGTTCAGGTTGTATCGTTTTATTGATTCCCCCCTTCCTTTTTTTTTTTTTTTTTTGCTATCTTATTATGTCTATCTGTCTTTCCTGTCCCTTTCTGTCTGTCTGTATTTTTTGGCGAGTGGTTGCTGCTGTCTCTTACTAGATAATATGCACAGTTGCCTCCCTGCTTCTGTTTATTCAAGGTTCCAAATATGCACATCTGTCATGTATGTAATGCCAGCTGTATAACCTCTTGGTTTGGTCGTAAAAGAAAAGACACATTTTTTTTTCTTTCCTGACATACCCCCTTGATCTGCTGTAATGCCCATCGCTCAAGGCTCAAAGTTTGATTGTCTAATTAACTTCATATTAGGAAAAACACAGTTCGGGCCAGTGCATTTGGGATAATGTAGGTATAAAGGGAAGTGACTCCAAAGATTTCTAAAGAATTTTTGTTCTGATTAACTGAGAGCTGCGGCATTCACCGCCTTATTGCTTTCTAGCATTTCTTATTGCAAAAAAAAAAAAAAAGATCTATTTTAAAATGTGTAGACACAGCAAGGGACAGCCTTCTGCAAGGAAGACATTTTCAACCATGTTGTATGTTGTACCTTATCTGCTGCATTCAAAATTTACTGAGTTTCATTTTTATCTTAATATGGCTGGAAACAAGGCACAGTATCTTGACTGAAAACATCCTTAATTCCTGACTTGGAAATGAAAACAAATAAACAAAACAATAGACTATATTAAGCCAGTTGATTTGCCCTAAAATATACAGGCCTTGAGTTAGATTTCAAGCAATGGTTCATAGGGTCAGATTTTCCTTCTTGGCAATATATCTCCAGCACAATGGCTTTTGGAAAATATATATGTATAAAGTCCACTTTTAAAATACCCTCAAAGCTATCATTTTAAAAAGACTGAATCCATAATTGCATAGCCACAAAGAACAGCAAATATGCACACATGCAGCTTATTCAATTAAAGGAGTCCAAGCACATGCACAGGTAATTAGTTTTCTTATGAATGACTTACCTGCACAGATAGTCAAGGCAAGACTCAACCCTCCCCAATGGCTTTCATGTATAAATATTCACAGGTATTTTCCCCCATTTTAAAGCTACAGCTGTATGCCATCTTTCATGCTGGACTATTCAGCATCCATTTTTAGCACCCTTAATTCTTATGGCATTTCCAGCCTTTCCAAGCCTACACTAAAGTGCTCATATGATATGTCACCCAATAAAAAGTGGTCAGATGGCTACACGTAAAACATTAAAAAACGGAAACACACTCATCCTTTAGGTTTGCCCTTACCTTGCCATATATAGCAAGATTACATTTCCTAAAGTACATTTTCAGCACATTTTATGAATACTTGCAGGATTCCACAACCGGTTGCAGAATCGCCGGTTTCTGAGGGGCACCTGGCTGAATGAAACAATTCGGCAGGTTAAATGTCTCTCCGAGTTTGGCTGCAATTCAATCGTGCGTGGCGGTTTGTTCCTGCCTGGACTCTCGCATATACCTGCCCGCCTTTATGCAGGGATCAGGACAAACACACCAGCCACGCTGCAGGACATAGAGTGGCGGTGCATATATTCAGATGGTAGTAGCAAGGAATGTGTGCATGTACGGATGTCTGTGCATGCATGTGTGTACAGACGCATGTGTGTGTGTGTGCGCGCGCGCACGCTGTGTGACCAGGAACACAGAAAGGTACACCTCTTATCTCTGATCTCTCTGTAATCTCCTTTTCTGTTTCTAATCTCCCTTATTGGCGCATGGTAGTAACCTGAAGCATCTGAACCGTCACCGTCACTGCCGTATGCGCGCTGTGGCTTACCCTGGGGGTCGGTGGCTCGGTGGCTCGCTGGTTCGGTGGGTGTTGTGGCGGAGGGTTAGTAGCGCCGCTGCCGCTGCCGCGGCAGGTCCGGGTGCTCTGTCCCAGCCCGGCAGCCTAGCGCGCGGTGCCGGAGCCCCCTCCCACCCCGCCCTCACCCCCATCCTCCCCTCCCCTCTGCGGCTCCCCCCACCCCCCCGCCCCGTATTACCATATGGAGGCCGAGTCCCTGCGAATCACAGCAGCAGCGGGCGGCATTTGAATAAGCCCCGCAACCCCGCGCAGACCCCAACTCCTCCGCAAGCAGCGTGCCCTGCACCCAGGGCCACCACTCCCGCCGGTAACCTGGCAGCGGCCGACACCTCCCCAAAGTGCTCTGGGCGCGCGGGAGAGAGGGTGCTGGGCCTCCCACTTGCTACTTTTATATTAACTTGACTGATAGGATCAGACAATAAATGGGGGGGAGACAGAGAGAGAGATACACACAGAGAGAGACGGGGTGGGGGGCGGGGAGAGAAGAGGGGAAGAGGATAAGGGAAAGGAAAGAGGAGAGGCTCTGTGGCTGGCTGGGGGATGGGGGTGAGGAAGACAGAGGCTAAGGAAAGGGGGAGACAGCGGGGAAAGGAGCCCAAAGGGTTGAGTGAAAGAGAGAGTAAAATGGGGAGGGAGTGGGGAAACGATGGGAGGGGGAGAGATACCCAAATATCTGAATTTGGACTTTCCAAGCTAAAAATACCACCTCACTGAACTTCGAAACCTCCAATTAGACACGTGTTTCTCCCCCCCTCCCACGTCACCGAATGATTAATTTGCCGTCTCAATCAGAAATAATAATTTAGAATTGTATAACAGATATAGAATTTAAGGGAAAGGAGCCAATTTTGTGAAACACAGCAAAAGGCATGACATTTAAAGATGATGTTGGCCACGTCACGTTAAACAACTAAAGCTTGCCTCGAGGACTCAGGCACTGGTCTAGCCTTGTCCTCCGAGACTGCGAGACCGAGGCCCCGAGTCAGGAACAAGCTGTGTTCCGAAATATTTTGGACTTTTCTTTCTTCCTCTTTGATATTTGATTGTTACATTTTTCTTCTTCAGAATTGATTACGTTTACCGAAAAATACAGATAAAGGGTGGGTCTGGTTTTTTTTTTTTCTGCAAAATATCCCCACATTTTTACTGAAGATATGATTTTAAACGTTAGTTTAAATACATAGCCAGTTCCGTTTTGCATACTAACTCTTTCAATAACTCGAGGTTCTGAATTTAGCGTTTTCAATGCGGTCTCCCTTCCCTATCTTCAAACGGAGCAGTGATTTCCCTGTACAAAACAGAGTATAATAAAATCTCCAGTCACCTATAGGATGTACCCATTGTAAATCTCTCTCTCGGTATTCATAAGCCAAACCACCTCCTTTTGAGACACACAAAAAGAACGCTTCTGATTAATAATCTCTTACGCGGCACACTGAGGCCGAAGGCAGGGAGCCGCAGGACGCCAGAGAAGGGCGCAGAATTCTCAATACCTAGAATTTCAATACAGATCCCAAAGACGTGCTAACTGCTAGGTTTCCCAAAGGGAATAATACTTGGCAAGCAATGTTTTCGGGGAAGACAACCACATCCAAATACTGAGTCCTTCCTGGGCCGGGGGAGGGGGGCGGTCGCGGTTACCCAGCATTTCTGCGTGCAGACGTGTGTACAAGATGGTATGTAGCTCACGTATGTGGCCAGGCCCAGGTTGCTTTCTTTTCTTTTTTTTTCCTTCTTATTTTTATTTATTTATTTTTTTGAGACAGGAAATTGAAACCAATCCACTCTATCTGTGGCTAGCTCCCACGAAGTTGGGATTTCAACCTCTTGTTTATTGTTAAAGCCAGTGTGGAGCCCCGGGTGAATGCCCCGGCTCGGGATTTTCCCGGGATGCTCCCAGTGCCCGGTCGCTGCCCACGGCACGTGAAAAGAAGAGAAAGGAGGTAGAGTTGGTGGCTTCGAGCCGCTTCCGTCGGGATCCCGCGCTTCACCCCAACACAGCCTTCTCTTTTTTCTCTCCCCGAAGGCGCTCCCTTAGGCCGGCCAGTGTCGCTGCAGTGGTGGCCAGGTGAGCCAGGGGACGGTCTCGGGGGACAGCGGCCCTCTCCCGGGGGGCTCTGGTGGCTTGGGAACCCGCCGGGCGTGGAAGGCTGAGTGGCACGGGGGGCCAGCGCGGGGCTCCTGGCCCCGGCCAGCAGGGGAACAGCGACACCTACTGGCCGCACGGCCACCGCGTCGAGGCCGTCGGGGCGGCCCTGGGCCGGGGGTGCCCGCCTGTGTGGACTTGAGAGACCCCAGGACCCTGCGCCCAAGGCTCGGCCCGCCCCTCTAGGCCTCGCCTACCCCGGGGAAGGCAAAGCCTCCGCTTCTAGAGACCCCCGAGGGGGACTGGAGGACGGGACTGAACTCTTGCGCGGGCACGCACGCCCTCCAGCCCGAGGCTCTTCTGGGGAACCGGAGGGACCCGCAGACGCCGTTGGCCACCGTCTCCTGGTTTTATGAAAGACCCAGGCGGAGGTTGGAACCCTGACCTCTTTGGGTTCATGACCCAGGCCTCTTGTCCACCACCCCCATTTCAGCGCTGACTAAAGATGATATCTTTACAAATTAGGAACCGGGGAGACTTCATTATCCTCCCTTAAGAGGGGAAATGTGCGGGTCAATGACACAGCCTCACACGCAGTGGCCGGCGCCAGGCACGCGGCCCGCCCGAGCCCTGCTGCTCGCCGGCATCGGGCACCTTGAGCGCGCCCCCGCCGCCGCCGAGATTGGGGTTTGGTAGCTTTCCTTTAAGAAATACAATCTTCTTAATTACACCGGAAGTAAAGGCAAATTTGGGGTGATGATGATATTTTCGAGACCTAAGGGTACATATAGATCCTGCTAATAAATGCTTCGATTGTTGTCTTCGGTTGGGAAAAATAAGAGAGGGTGCCAAGGGATGGCGAGGCCCTAGGAAAACCT